TGTCGACTACTTGGTTCAGGCCCGAGAGATGATAGTAATTGATGGTTAGAGACGTTGAATGACATGGCACAGGTGCATTCATTCTTTGTATTCTCTCAAATCCTAACCTTCAGATTTCCTGATCACCTTTATCTTCCTTTTTTTAAGTTTTTTTTCACTAGATTATACTTCTTGAATAATATCATCGAACCCTTAAAATTTTCGACTACTGCTAATACTTCTACCACCTCTACCACTATGGGATTTGGATTAAAAATCGTATCTCTTTGCTAATGTGGTATGGCAACTTGGACGTATGTGCAAAGTTCTATGTTGTTGCTGTTGACTTGACCGAAACTTTGACAGTGATTAGTTTGTCTTTCATCAGATAAAATAAGTTTATAGGATACAAATGTTATCAGTATTCATTGACAGTTTGTTTCATTTAAAACGTTTATGATGAGGTTTCGTCCGCTGAGATGGATGTTTTTTCGGTTGTGGAGCTTTCATTATTCTTCTGAACAGCATCATCAACACAAACTTCAGGTCATTTCACATCCAACTCAGAGAAGGAAACTCCATCATAAGAATGTTTCATGAGGAATATCAAGAATGAAAAAAATCTTTAGATGTCACTTCATTCAACTGCCTAACAAGGCAAGTCAGCACTTAGAATCCTCAGTTCCAACAGAAAACAGGCAAACCGAAGAACATATTTCACTAAAGATTGGAAACACGCATGCAAAGAATGAATAGCATTTGGGTCGGAACGGAAAAGAAGGTCTAGGATTGAGTTGTTTGAGATAATTGTTTGACTACCGAAGTTCCGTTAGGGGTAACAGGCTTATGTAAGTAAGTAAGTAAGTAAGTGCATAAGTAAGTAAGTAAGTAAGTAAGTAAGTAAGTAAGTAAGTAAGTAAAAAGGTAGGTAAGTAAGTAAGTAAGTGCATAAGTAAGTAAGTAAGTAAGTAGGTAAGTGCATAAGTAAATAAGTTAGTAAGTAGGTAAGTGCATAAGTAAGTGCATAAGTAATTAAGTAAGTAAGTAAGTGCATAAGTAAGTAAGTAAGTAAGTAAGTGCATAAGTAAGTAAGTAAGTAAGTGAGTGAGTAAGTAAGTGCATAAGTAAGTAAGTAAGTAAGTAACTAAGTAAGTAAGTGCATAAGTAAGTATGTAAATAAGTAAGTAAGTGAGTAAGTAAGTAAGTAAGTGCATAAGTAAGTAAGTAAGTAAGTGAGTGAGTAAGTAAGTGCATAAGTAAGTAAGTAAGTAAGTAACTAAGTAAGTAAGTGCATAAGTAAGTATGTAAATAAGTATGTAAGTGAGTAAGTAAGTGCATAAGTTAGTAAGTAAGTGCATAATTAAGTGCATAAGTAAGTATGTAAATAAGTGAGTAAGTAAGTGAGTAAGTGAGTAAGTAATTAAGTAAGTAAGTAAGTAACTGCATAAGTTATTAAGTAAGTGCCTAAGTAAGCAAGTAAGTAAGTAATAAAATGGGTAAGTAAGTGAGTGATTGAGTAAGTAGGTTCATAAGTAAGTAAGTAATTATAATCAATACCTGGTCGAGTCGTCGGCTTATCTCTTTTTTTGTTCATGACTTTTTCAGTTCGTCACGCACACTTGCTACTGTACATACACCCCTAGTACACAAGGTACATTCTGGTTAGACATGAACCATTACAGTAATGTACAACTGAACGTATTATTAAGAATTTATTGATTTAATTTAAAAAATAGAAAAAATACTTGTACCAATTCAGCAATTATGCATGTGTCATAAGATTAAACTATATTTGTATAAGTTACATTATTACTATTATTAGTATTACTATTCGAAACAGACATTTCCTCAGTTACTTCAGGCACAGTAGTTAATTCCACAGAAACCACAATTTTCTGATTCCCATTCGTGTACTTACTTGAATTTCCTGTTGATTCTTCACGATTAATCGACGTACTTAAATCAACATTCTCTGTACTTGACGAACTCATAGCTAACTGTGTTTCATGTATTGACAACGGTGACGAATCTTGCTCTTTGTGTATAGTATACAAAACTACCGACGAACCACGTGGTCTAGGTTGTACAGAAAAACGATATCTAGGCAATGCTGATAATCGAGCAGCTTCAGCCAAAGCCACTTGTTGTTGATAATGTTGATAACTACGAAAATTACCAACATGATGTCGAATAGCTAAAATCATCCATGTAGTCAGTAATAAAATCAGCAGTACTGCCAATCCCCATAAACCAAATACTTGCCATGCAAATGGATTATATTCTGCATAACCAAAAGCACCCAATGCACAAAAATATACACCAATGTAGGTAGCCGGTGTCAATAATATCATACAGATAATATCAGCAATTAAATGTCGTCGTGTCCGCGGCCAACTTAACCAATCACGTATACTTCTCAATTCATTACTAAGTCGTCTTATTGGAGCGGTGGACAATTGTGATGAATGTCGTCTTTTCGATGGTGTCATAATATAAGCATAACCACAAAGTTCACAATTTGGTTTACCCGACGTTAAAAGCCATTTTTCAAGACATTTTCTATGTACCAAACCAACGGTACCTTTACAACGACATGGTGATAGTAAAGCCTCAGTTTCATCACCTTCTTCTAAACATATTCGACATCGAAAACCACCTAGTAGACTAACATCATTGGTACATGTTGGTAGGGTTTGATAGGTGGGATAAATTTTTATCGGTTTCAAAAGTTCATTGTTATGATTATTACTAGTATTGTGAATGTCGGATAATTCAATTTCATTCTGATCATCAACATTGTGATCATAAATACTGTTCTCCTGATCATACGATAAACTTGTACTGATTACATTCATGATAGGTGTTACATTCGGTGAATATCTCATATTGTCTACATGTCCAACATTAGTAATATTATCAGGTTCATGAGGATTATTTCGAAATGAAACATTCAATGCTAATCGTGGTGCACCAACAAGTGCAGAATTTAATAAAGTTGAACAATTTGTAAATGATTTCATAAATGGTGTTGATGTTGTGATATTTATTTCTCTTGGTAATATTCTTTCATGTTGTTCAATTGAACATTGATCATTATTATTATTACTATGATTTGTTTGATCGTCTAACTGAAATTTCGACAAATGATGATTTGGTTTCACAAATAAAACATTCTCTTTATTATATTTTAATGATGGTCTTGGAGCATTTGGTACGACGTGATGATCATCTTTATCAGTGTTATGCTGATGATGATGTAATGATCGTTTTCTGGAATGGAATTGAGTGACTACTTTTGGACTTTTGGACACTTGGTGTTTATGCTGATGTCGATTGAATGAGGATTGATGTTGTCGTTGTTTTCTCTTAATCATCCGATGTATTGATAATGAATGACGTCGTCTATTGGGATATTTCTCATCATTATGTAAACCAACGGAATGAGATGTACTTTGTAATGGACTGACGCTAGAAATACATGGACTATTCATTGTCATTAACTAGACATTGAAAGTGATCAATTCCATGATATGATAACTTGTCATGTGTAGTATTCTCATTATTTATTTTGTTTAAATGTACAGTTTATCGATCAGATGATGATGAGTGATTTGTATTCTTCTTAACTTGTTTGGTATTGATTAGGATAAATTATCTTATCAAGGGTGTGTGTGTGTGTATGTGTGTGTCTGTGTACGTAGTGTGTGTGTGTATGCATGTATGTGTAGTATGCAGTGTGTTGAGTGCATTGTTCACAATTCTACTGTTTATTTGAGAAATCAATATTGATCGATAAATATTGTACTGTATGTTCTATATGAGTATGATAATCATTTTGCCCAATAATATCACAATTTTTACTTACAATGATTACCCTTTTGATTGGAATATTGGATGGTGGCTAGTTAGAATTCTCCAACCTATTCATGTTCATTCTCTATTGATATCTGTCTCCAATTCTCGGTGTAATTGTGGTGTGAGCTACTTATAAGTAGTATATGACGTGAGTGTGAACGTAATGTCTGGCAGCAGAAGAGGATGGGGGAAAATCAAGAAAGGAAGAGTGGGGGGAACACAATGGAATTTGTATGAAACGCATGAATAGTGAGTGATAATGGACTGATGTTTTGCAACAGGAATAGTTCAGTTCGATATGATGAACTGATCTATTTTGCAAATTAACCGTTTACGATATGGTTTTCCAATTTTACGGAATAACTCTGTAATTTTCTCTAATTACAATCCGGTTGAACGCACCTGTGTTCTCCTTCACTACATAATGAGTTGTTTGGTCTCGCTGTTTTCTTTTGACATTAGGGATTCCAAGTGATGTCTTGTTAGGTGATTTGTGACACGCATTAACTAGGAAGCTTAGTTCATTTACTCATCGACATTTTAATCATTATTCAAATATACCCTTTCATTCCTGACTTCTGATTTAATTTGACTGTGGATATTATCGATCTGAAAGTTGTTAAAGACCAAAGCCCGGTGGAGTTTCGTTCTCTAAGCTTTCACTGTTCTTCGGAACAACATCATCAGCACACACTTCAGACAGAAGTAAATTATTCGAATACCAAATCATCCAGCTCAGAGAACGAAACGTTATCACAATCATCGACCTGAGCTACAAATTTTCTCTACTATCTCAAGTGACGAAAGCGTCATCCAACTCAGAATATCCGTGGTGTCAATGATTAGTGAGGAAAAATTGGGTTTTGAATGAATGAATGATATTGTCTATGTCAGCTTTGGATCTTCAGTCTGTCAGTCAGTCAGGCAGCTACGACGTACGACTTGACACGTATGCACATCAGCGTTTAGGTTGCCATACCACATTAGCACAGCTAGAGATGTATAGGTAGTACAAGTATTAGCGATAATGGAAGAGATTATGGTTCGAAGAAATCGTTCAAGAAGTATAATTCAGTAAAATTAATTTAAAAAGAAATAAGAGGGGGTCCTGAGCTTATAAGGTTATCAGAGAACGGAAAGAATGAATGCATCTGCGGCATTACCGAAGATTTCGAGCCATATCAGCCAGAGTCCCTAACTATCGGTGACTACTACCAGGTAGCAGACTACATCTATAAACATGACTCAGTCCGGTTGTCAGTGACTTAGTGGATTAAGTCTTGTGGTAGATATCATATTCTTACACCGATGATGGTGAATGTTTATGATAACTCAGCGTATAATGATGAACTGATATTTTAACTGATAGCATTCACACAGTGAAATCATCAATCAACCATTGTTAGATCACTATTAGAAACCTGGAAACACTGGACGGCCGTCTCATCCCGCTATGGAACACATCAGCAGTGCGCATGCACGACCCGTGCATCTCGCGTGATTCGAACCCAGGACCTTCTGTGTTGCGTGCGAATGCCTAACCTCTGGATCACTGAGCTGGCATTCAACATTATTAGTGTCTAACTCTGATCAGTCTAGAGATTTCGCGCGACCCCAACCATTAGTTTTCGGTAGTTACTGCCAATACCCGACAGGGTTGGACTCCACTAGTCACATCCCATAACGGGAGGAAATGGCTGTCTAGTGCTTCCAGGTGATCTAACAATGATTGATTGATGATTTCAATGTGCGAAAACATTGATCACCATAACTGTGATTGACAAATGATCGCATTCAGTTTCCATTCAATTAATGATTGATATTGAAGAGTGTAATATTTTTCTACACATTTGAAACCATGAATCGATCAATGTTAAACTTGAAAGCATTGGACGGCCGTTTCGTTCTGGTACGGGACTCATCAGCATTGCGCACTGACGATTGCTGCAACCCACAGGGTTCGAACTCAGGAGCTTCGGTCTTGTGAGCGAACGTCTTACTTCTTGACCGATAGGCCGGTATCTAACGGGGTTAGTGTCCAACTTCTATCAATCCACGGTCTTGCTTATGAGTCCCGTATCAGGACGAAACGGCTGTCCAGTGCTTCCAGGTTTCTAATGGTGGTCTAACATTGATCGATTCATGGTTTCAAAAATGTGTAACTTAACAATCTTCACAACCCAGTAATGTAACACCTTTTTGTAACATTGATTACATAACAGTTTTCATCTTGTGTTAAAAGGTATTAAATAATGCTTCCAAGACATTTTTCGAATTCAATTAAATCAATCAACCGGTTGTAAGTAAGATTACTACTATTTATTATTCTCTTACATTTAATAAACACTACGATTTTTTTTTATGTACCGTAGACATTTATCAATGACAAATAAATCAAAAGTGTGCTTAATTTGAAAAAAAATTGCAAAGAATCATTTGATTTACTTTTTGTTATGTTAATGAAAATTCATTCATTCTCAATAGTATGACATACTTTTTATGAAAAAACTGTCACATAAACATGATATTGTCACATGTATAGACAACTATGCTTAGTTTATGATTGATTATCAGTAGTATTTTTATCACAGAATAAAATATTAACCTTTCCAAAATGTTATCACTTTATCTGATTGCTACAGGACTTAATTGGACAACAGTTCATGACAGTGGAGGCTATTCATAATTCGAGACTATGAACCCATGTAGTTACTTCATACGTGAGAATGTGTTGGGCTAACTGTAAACTTCTAAGTAAACTGAATTAAATTTGAAATGGTTTCTGATTATCCTATTACTGATTATATGGTTGAAACTATGTCAGTCTTAGTTGAGACATGTGGGCATCATCCTGTCACAATTTGTTCATTATGTTGACACAAGATTATACAGAATTGAATGTCTGGTTCAACTGTTCAGAAGTTACACGTCCTCACACAAGATTGAAGATCCTGAGTAAAGATCCCACGAGTAAAAGAGGACGTGGTTGAGCACTGCTAAGCAGTCCCATACCAGGACGAAACGGTTGTCCAGTGCTCTAGTTTTTGTATAACAGTGACTCACTCATGACAACTAGTTAAGTGTGAGCTCACATGTTAAATGTATAACGCTATGGCACTTGAAGTGAACGATATAGGGTAGGAGTTTCGTAGTGAAAATTAACTCTGAAATGTGACAACCACATCCATCTACAGACGCGGCGTCTCAGATAGAACGAAACCTGCATCGTGTATTCCATTGTCAGTCATCGTATTCTGTCTATTTTACAAATAAATCATCTGAAACTTTTGAATCAACGTGAATTCATCAGCTACAGTTTTAAATGTTATTCAGATTTTGATTGAATTGATGGACCAATCAATGTTAGACCGTTATTAGATATTTGTAAGCACTAGACTGAAAGAAACTCTAATGATGAAAATTAGTCATACTACTTAATATGATATATGAGTAGTTAAAAATAATATCAATAAATACAATCTGTCTAGAAAATCTTACCTGCATAATCGATTCACACCTTTCTGCCTTGATAAAATATCCAGTCGAGAATTTCTTTCCTGTTTCAATGTATTGTTTACAGATGGTCTTTTCACAGTGTTTTTCATAGTGGACTCTTCATTGACAGTTTCTAACTCGGTAGTTTTTGAATTGATTCGTGTAGGGGATTCATTCATTTTTTCGGAAATATCTTATTGTATCGAGAGAATAATAATGAAATTGATGTGATATAAAGAGATGTGTAAAGATTGTAGACGTTTCATAGTGTAAATAATCTTAGTTGATATAACCAGTGACATTTAACCACATTGTGTTTGAGACAGTTATAGACTGCGGACAATCGATGAAGTTGGCGTAATATTTTGAACTGGTTGAAGTTAGTGTATCAACTTCATGCAATGTCAACTTAGATTTCTAGCGGCTAAGTATCCGTGTGTGAGACCATGGTACATGGATAGGATTTCTGGTAGTAGGTTCGCGTATGTGCACGAAACGGTCATTCGGAGCCTCTGAATTTTCATACATCGTGTGGTAAATGTCGGTTCATGATTTCAGTTGGAATAAATTTATTCTACGGAGAATAGATCGATTTGGTTATGTGCCTTTCACACTCAAATGCCCTGGTGCGGTTAAAAGTTGAATTAGTTCATCCACCCTATCGCTTGACCATAGGTGTAGTGTTACTATCAAAAGAATCCTACTTATCGTCTTCTCCCAGTACAGGTTTCGTTTATCGAATTGAGCGGAAGAGGCTTAAACCTGGTTGATGAGTATAAAGGATCCCCTGAGAGGAGTTGGAAAATCTATATTACACCCTACTGAGTACACAGGCTACATAACCTTGTCAGAAGGAATTGGCTTATGAACCTATAAAATGATCACTGTCTCCGATTGGACTGCATCTGCTGATGATGCCATGTGAACTAAGCATATAGATCAAAGATTCAAGTAGTAACCTACACAATATTACCATCAACTTTGGTCTGAGCAATCGGGTAGAAAGAATCCGAACCCACTTACATATTCGGGAATCTGTATGGTACTTTAATTACTCAGGTGCTCTTTCGTACCGACAGTTATATAATTAGACAAGATGAAAATATTATATTTTGTCTTTCGGGTTGCTAAATCTCTGAACAATGAAAGCAACTTTGCACAAAGAAACTTTCATTCAAATTTTTTGGAAAAATAATTTTAAACATACAAGAAATCAAATCGTTTTGTGAATTCCGCTGAGT